CAGCCAGCTTCTTTGGCAATGAATGTTTGTGGCTTACCCTCCTTGTGAAGGGTGTCAATGATTGTCTTCTGGACAACTAAAAAAATCTAGCTGATTGGCATGTCACCATATTCTAATTTGTTGAGATAGTGAATTGGTGGGCTTTTGTTAAATGTGAGCCAAAATCATCACAATTAAAAGAACCAAAGACTTCAACTACTTCAGTCTGTGTGCATTGAATTTATTTAATACACGAGTTTCACAATTTGAGTTGAATTACTGAAATAAATGAACTTTTCCACGATATTCTAATTTATTGAGATGCACCTGTATATATATATATAGAGAGAGAGAGAGATTTTGATCTGGTCAGGTGGTCACATTTTTCAATTACATACTGTCTTTTTGTTTCATTTAAAGCACTGTGAATTGTTTACCTGACCTATGTAAATTGCAATCCATTTAATGTGATTAAAGTGACGTTATTTTCCATTCCTCATTTAAATGATAATACAAAAGAGCCTGTGTATAAAAAGTTCTATAGGATTAAAATGATGTGTGACGGTTTCCATAGTCACCGTGTTGCTCTCGTACTTTCACACACACTAATTTCTTAGTACTGCAAAGCCTGTTTTCTGTCAAAGTAACTGTGTAGAGAATGCTTTCACACATTTAGAAATTTGTTCCTTAAATAAAGTGAAATGAAAAGAGAATGTTCCTTTAATAAAAAAACGGGATTCGCACAATCATCAGTCAAAATTTTCAGCCATCAGATTCATAATTATATTTCCCTCCAGAAATTTCTATGCTTCTATTCCCTCTGTTCCCATAAATAATAGAGCAATACTGAATATTTAATGCGCCTGAATATAGTTCCTCACACATTAAAAACAGTTCATCTTTTCGATGAGGAGTCTCTTATGGGTTTAATTATTCTCAAAATATGTATTATAAAATATTTATTTATTTAGCTAGGCCATAATTGTGCACTTGTAGCATGTTTAAAAAATTAAATCCCATTTATGCACCAAAAAGGAATAGACTTCATCCTTCATATGAAAGTAAATTAACTCATGAAAAGGTCTTGGTTAATGTGCTTAAGTTACAATAAAACACGCTACAAAGCATTTAACCTTTATGGAATTGCCAAAGGACACAACATAATTGGTTTGTCTGTTCACTGCACAAACTTTGTTTGGATTTGAGGCAAAATGGAAGCCTAAGGCAACTGTATCCAAGGTGGCTTTTGGGAAATGGAATTAGAGCATTTAGAGGCTGATAAAAACGGTGGAGACCAATGTTGCCGAAGGGCGGGAGGGAAGGCAGAAGTGAGAATAAGACAGCATTGTATGCCTCTTATCAAATACAATACGGTGTAAATTACGTCATTTAGGAAATGGCCTCTAAAAAAAATATGAGCAATAAGATAATTCGATTGGAAAATATTACAAAAACAGCAGATTTATTTTGAAATTGAATAGACCGTGACAATGATATGTGGTCTGACCTCCCAAACAAGACAAAGTCTAGATACATTCAAAGAACAGTGCACTTACTGACATCATCCAAACACTTAAGAGTTATGCTGATCAATAAAATTGTAGTTTCTCTTTTTAGAGGGCCACTTGATTTTATTTTGTATGGATTCGTATGTCTATTTTGTATGTAATGCACCATTAGCTGTTTTTAAGGCACCGATCTTTTGCTCCATCAATAATTCTCCCTCAAGGCTTGTGCTGTTTATTACCGTTTAAAACCCTGTTATTTACTGTAGGTCACAGCCATGCCGAATGAATTACTATTTTTAAGCACTCTAGTCTTTGAATGAACATCACCTATAACAATGAGGTGACCTCTGCCACACTGACACCATGTGGCCATGCATGTATGGAAAGAATGACAGGCCTTATTAAATCCATTTCATATCCTTGCACTTCTGCAAAGCCACGACACAAAAACAAAAAATATAAGTTTTACTGACAGGTATTAAAATAAAAAGCTTTAACCTATGCTTATGAATGGGAAAACAAGTGTTTTTAGAGTTAATTCAAATCTCATTTAGCTCATTTAACATGTAGTTTTTTCACTATACCTATATTTAAAAGCTTTGTACTGCACCACTGCTGATTTTATTTGGATTCACAAACTTTTTTGTCTGAACCTCTGTGAGGTAAAATATTTACTTGGCAAATATTTATAATATTTAATAGTTAATTTATATTTTATAATTATAATATATTTGATCATTTATAATTTAATAATAATTTATCAACCTATTTGCATGTTGACATTTATCTGATGATGGTTAATGGTCACTTGACGTGCAGGTCAACACCTAAAATGTGTTTTGTTTTGTTTTGAAAATATTTTTGTATTTTAAAATGATTTAATTCGTTTTTACATTTTTATTATTTATTTATTTGCTTTTCATTAACTCTCAAACCCCCAGCAGTTCCCTCATGAAGCAGGTTTACAAAAACCCAGGATGAGTAATTCATGTCCATCTTTAAAAACATACACAGTCTAGTTTCTGTGGTTTTCTAAGTAAGTTTTTTATTTTATTATTTTATTTTATCATTGAAAAAAAAAATGAATGTGAAAAATGTTTCCATAACCCAGCCGACTGGAAAAGTGAGATTTTTGATAATTCAGGAATTGTCTTGGATTTCCTTTTTTCAAGGAACCCCCTGTCTGTCTGAGACCCCACTTTGAGAAATAGGATGCATTGCTTATTGTAAATAACCAAAATAATTGACTAAAATGTAAATGTTACCACAATATTATTTTGACCTCCTTTGTGCCTACATGTCCATGAGATTATTCATTTAATTATTATTCATAAAATCCCCTTTCTAACTAAATCTTTATATATA